CAGTTATTCTTCCTTCTGGCGGAGCCAAAATGCAAATGAAACAAATCACAGAGATGTATACTGGGCAGACCCAGTAGTCAGGCTGGAGGTGGGGAGTTCAGCCTACGGTAATCAAGCCTCCAGGAACCAGGCTGTCCATTGAGCTGAGAAACTGAGTAGTGGCGGGTTGTACAGTTGGGCTGGTTTTCTTGTTGTTTGGCTTGGTGTGTGTGCTGTGCTTCTGGGGACTTCTTGTTTGCTTAAAGGCTGGTTTTAGTACACTCCTTTGCTGGCTTCTAGGGGTATTCAGGACATATTTCTACCCCTGCTTATAGCAAGGGGAGGGGAGGGTGGAACTAGATGATCTTAAAAGCCCTGTCCAACCAAACTGTTCTATGATTCTATGACTTTCCCTTTATTCTGCTTTGTCATTTTGTGTTGGCATAGCACCATACCCAGCTGGCACAACCCTGTGCTTTGTACTATAAATCTGAATGCTGATCTGGGGGAAGAGAATCCGGTCTCAGGAATATTTTTCTTTACAGCACTTTTTCCTGTTATGTTATACATCTAAGCTAAGGGGATGCAGCCGCTGTCAGTCTAGTCTCTCCCTGTCTTCATTCAGAAATGAAGTGTTGCAAATGAAAGTGTTTTTCTCAAAAAGCACATCTATGACAGCCTTCCTAAATGAAAAGAAAATATTAAAAGCTAAACTTGCCCATTCTTGTAAACAGGGAAATCTTTCTTGTCCACTTTGTCATTTCAAAGCCATTTTCAAAGCAAAGAAATTCTTCAAGGAATACATTTAAGCCATTTCCTTTTTAACCTGCTAAGATTATTTTATATCCTTTAATATATATGTGAATTAGCTAAATCCTAGATAGAATATGAGTCAGAAACAACAAGGCAGTTTGTAAAGAGAATTTATGGCTATTCTTCGCTCCTCGCTAATCCTGGTGATCATCTGAGAAGGTGATTGAAAGAATGTATGTTGCAGCAGTGTTAGAGGTGATTATCTGTGCATTTTAAGTCCTTTCATTTCTACACCTGAATGAAAATGAGAGACTCAATCTCAGTATGTCTGAAAGGTATAGAGCAGAAATCAAAGGGCAGTATGCAGAGGCAGCTTAAATATTTCCTTTGCACATCTGTTTTAGATGATTCGCCAAAACTTATTTTCTGCTTAAATTAGTGCTCTTCTCCTTGTGAGACCACCTCACAGGCTTTCAGTAGTGTTTTGCTTTCACAGGTGGGATACTTTCTTGAGGTACAGTGTCAGTCAGAGATTTTGGCCTTCCTTCGCTCAGGGGAGCCTATGTTTCTCACCAGGACTCAGTAAACATATAGGTTCGGTGTTAGAAAAAACATCTCCAAATAGCAGTCAGGCAGTGGCACAGGCTGCCCAGGGATGTGGTGGAGTCACCATCTCTGAAGCTGTCCAAGAAACGTGTAGATGTTGCACTGAGGGACATGGTGAGTGGGGAAATACTGGTGGTGGGTGGACAGTTGGACTGGATGACCTTGGAGGTCTTTTCCAACTTCAGTGATCCTGTGAAACCTCATTTCCACCCCCCCTCAGCACAACTTTTCCAGTCAGTCCCCTTGGGCTCCACAGTAGGGACAAGCAGGGTGTAAGGTCCTGGGAAAGGGCCTGGGCTCTGAGTTCAGGACCACTCTTGCATGCTTGTCCCACATTACCCAGGCAAGCACTGCAGCACAGAAATGATGCAGCGCACTAAAGGAGGTCATTGAAGAGGTTCAATAACTCACATCCTCCTGCCAATTAATATATCTAATGCATCCCAAAGTCTGAGTCCCTTGCCTATTACACTATGTTATGGAAATGTGGATGGCATCAAAAAAGAGTTTAGGTAATGCACAATAAACAGGATATGGAGTTGAACCCATAAGAAAATATAGATTATTTTAATTTGCATGTTATAGGTAATAGAAACTCTGAAAACAATAAATTAGACATTCAGATGTTTTCCTATTGTACACAGCCATATTCCTGACTGAACTGAATGATTTCAAAATTCAGTGGCCTTTCAGATTTTCATTTGAATGTACTATAGAGACTACAGTGACAATTTATTACACGGCTATGAAGATAGTATTAATCATCATAAATGGAAACCTGTGGATGTTTCTTCGTCTGTGCTTTAAATTTTATCTCTTCCCCATCGCTACATCTAGTGAAGGAGTGATTGTAGCAATCAGTAAGCAGGAAGCCACCTCCTCCAGGAGCTGCCAGTATCCTAGTCAGGTTTAAACAACAGATGGGAGGTATGCACAGGCTAAAATTAGTGGCCTCCTGTAAAACGTTGTTCTAGATATTGTTCTTGATATGTGCCAAACTGGCAGGTCATATATTCTGGAAGAAGAGTACCGAGAGAAAGGAGGTAGCTGTGCTGACCACCTACATCTGAAATAGCAGGAAAGTGTTTTCTGTAAAGTTGGGAAAACATTCTTAAGCAATGCAAATACATGTAAAAAATGAATTTCTATACCTTTTGTGGGTATGTATTTCCATGACAGTGGTGGTAGCATCTGTGCTCTGGGTGCAACAGCAAAACCTTGCTGCCCTGCATGCCTGCACCTTGATATACCGCTTCCAGTTTTTAAAGGGCACCTGCCTCAGCACTTGCAAATTTCTGTCTGGCACTATCTGTGCACTGAATTTTGCAGTGTACTGCAGTTTATTCTTGTGAGCTCAGCTAATCAGTGAACAGCAACAGCCCCAGGTGACACGTTTGACTAACTGGCAGCTAATCAAGCATATTTGAATTTTGCATGTCACATACTGGCAGCAAACTGTTCACAACATATTCATGAAGTACATTTTGAATTAATTTAAGAAATGCATTTCAGGCAACGCTGATCAGTTTACAGATTTGCAAGGAGTGAGGAAGCTTGCTTGCATCTGAGAAAATAATGTCTGTTGAATTATTCATTCTGTCTTTTTAATTGTTTTATTCTTTTTATTTCTATATTTCTATCAACCAACAGACAGGATTCTTTGTTTTTCCAAGAGATCTATGGTTAGTGTTAGTTATAAAAATGCTGTAGCTGGCAGCGTTTTGTAATGGTCATTTTTTCATCATTTTCTCTTCGTTCTTTTGAGTCATTTGAAACATTACTAATTCTGACATCTAAAAAGCTTTCTGTTTTTTACATGTGGAATCAAATGGCTTAAGGAGTCAGAGCACATGAAAACGGCTCCTGTGAGTATTGCACTGCGCACCCACTGAAAATGGCAAGCAAAGGATATGTCTTTGTGATAAAAATACCTAGTAATTAGTATAAGTTTACATATTTTTATTAGGCAGGTAATTAGCAGCCAGACAATGCAGTATTTCAGAGATGGCCTAGATTTTATTACTGTATTGAGCCATTCAGAAATAGGCCCGGTTGCTGAACTACTTAGGTGTGCAATTACACAACGGACTTGTCCTCCTAAAAATGCATTGACAGAAGTGTGCACGTCACTGGGAAATTGTTCATACTTATAGCCATCATTAGCTACTTGAATGCAAAATATCTGCAAATGCTCAACGAATTAAACATAAAATGGATTCTCTTCTTCCAGGTCAACTGGGTATGCATTTCTGAACATCAGTTTAAGCCTTAACCAAGTTTAAGCCTTTAATTAGGTTACAGATATTTTATTCATATACATGCAAATATCCATGTAAGATATGCCTTTCAAAATGTAAAATTTTGTCAATTTAGTGTGTTGGCTTTGCAATACTTGGAGAATATTGAAGATATTTCAGTACAAATACCATTTCAATACATTATCTGTTCACTGTTTAAAAAGATATATCCCAAAAAAATTTGTATCCTAAAAAAGACATAAATCAGTTTTTTTGTGACTCACATTTTTATGGGTACCTCAGATTGCGAAGACAACACTTACTGAGCATTTTCAGAGGGTAAAACATCTCACAAATAGAAAATTGTATTTAAATGTTATGAGCCTTGCTGGCTGACTCCTGAGTATTGCAGTTTGTGCACTTTACTTACACTACTACTTGTCCATCTCATTTGCCACTGGTATTGTAAAGATGGGGGTTGTTTCCACTCCAGAAACACAACTGTGTTTTTCACACTTCTAATTTGACATCAAGTCATATAAAGCTACTTAGCTGGTCTACATTGTCTCAACTTGCACCTTCAGCCAGCATTAAAATATAAAATGAAAGCACATCAAATTCAACCATGATTGTTGGAGTGATTTCATGAGTTAAGCTATGCTGTGAAGTCATTTTGCATGTTGTGGATGGTCTGCCTGCACTATTTGCTCATATGCCCTTGAAGACTCCATTCCTATTTAACAGGAGCATGCATGAGTCACAGAGCCAGGTCTGATCAATACCAGCCTTTCTGAGAAAGGAACAAGCACTTTAAAAAAAAAAAAATAGAACCTCTGGCCACATCAAGAAGTGTTTTGCAGGTGTGTTGAGGTTACTACACACAGATTTAGTCTCAGGCCACTCCTTTCCTCACCACGCTCTCTGTCTGATTTTGATGGTTGCAGCATTCACCTCTAAGCACTTTCTTCTGTTGCTCTCACCTCAATGGCTCCATTTGGTCTTTTAAAACCTACACATGAAGTTGTTTCAATGTCACTGCTCCTCTCACGTGGTGAAGTTTTTATTGGAATGGGTAGCTGCCACCATAAACACAACATAAAATTTTGCTGTGCTGCTCTCAGTAAATAAAATAAAAGTTATGTTACCATTCTGCTTAGGCATGGTTTACACATTACTTCTCTCTTTCCACCAAATGAAAGAGATTAATCCAAATGAAAGTGCTGACATTACACAGTATTTGTATATTTATGAAATAAGGATAACAACCTGTTCAAGTACTGCTGTCCCAGTGAAAAGCACTTGCTTATACCCACTTCTGATGAGGCTATTTGTGTTTGATGAAATATTCTTT